TGTGCCTTATAGTCGTGAAAATACGGTAACCGTTGTTAACTTCCTTCCACTTCTAGTTCCGGTTCATCTGCTCACTGAGTTCAAGATTCCACCTCCTGTTGTCTTCATCAATAAACCTGTTAAACTTTCCCTTGGTTCTCTGAGTGGTTTTCTGCATCAGGGTCAGGCTTTTTATTACTACAGAAGTATTTAAATGCATTAAAATCATGACTCAAACTGTGGGTTTTTCAATTTCCATTTTTATTCAAAGGCAGGGAAATAAATTTTATATTTTAGTTTAAAATGTATTCAGAATAGTTTGCTACATGCACATAGATCTAAAAATAGACACAAACACACCTATACCTACCACAGTCATCCACTGATTAATTTATAAAAGATATTTATTCACACAGCACTTCTAAACAGTTATTGATGCTTCTTCTTGAATACAATCACCTTAATCCTTCAGAACTACAAGAGGAACATGAATAACCTGTGGAAACTACTGGGCAGCAGAGTTGGTTTGAATAATTTATATTTTGGTTTGATTACATTTTTTCACGTGAAACTAAAACTTTAACATGAAACAATAGTTTCTGACCATTTATAATGTTGATAGAGAAATCAGATCTTCTCATATGGTGAAAAGCAGATGGCCGCTGAAGGTTGTATGACGATTTGTATTATCATATATCCTTGTGTTTTGCCACTGACGCAAAAACACAACATCTCCTATTTCTAACAACAATGTGACACCACTGGCTGAAGAACCGAATCCATTAACTTGATGTTCATATGCAATAAAAATGTGTTCTCCGTTCTTGACCAGCACAGCACCTGAAGCATGTGAAGAATGTCCATGTGCACCTACATAGAACTCAAAGTGGTAGGCTCCTCTCAGTGGTGCTATGAAAAACCCTGAAGAAAAGAAAAAATAAAATAATACTAACAACAATTTGGAAAATTTGTGACAAAACTACCAGTTTTCAATAATACCCGTGAAATCTAGAAAGTTACCTTTCCAAAATCAATAAACATGATATAAAGGCTATTTTTTTCTTACGTGACATTATCATTCCAGGACCTTCTGACCAAAGTTTGACATTTGCTTTGAACGATATAAATAAACAGTATATGAAACAATTATTAAACCAAGTTACCTGTGTTTGGGTTGTAGGCATTTCCGATATTTGTAACAACATGCCTGAAGATCAGAGGGACGTGCGAGTTAAATGGACCAAGAGTTTCTGAGCCTGAGGCCAACAATGAAGCTGAGAAAGCCACTCGTTTCACTATAAGGAAGAAAGTATTGTGATTTGGTTTGGTTTTGATTAAGAAGAAGAATTCACATTAGCTGAAGAATACTACAAAACGTATAGAATTTAAAAATGACCAACTTTTTAGTAAGAACAATGCACAATTTGTTTTTTAAAATGTATAATAAGCTTAAAACAGACAAACTAGTAACACATGGAGAGAGCCAAGTGTTGACCACTCTTTCCTGTATAGTTTGCATAAAGACAATATGCAAATCCACTGCTCTAACAGTGGACAATGTGTTCAGTGTGAATGCACCTTAATGGTTGCAATGGTTTACAAAGGAAGTTAATTTCTGGATTCACAAACCTTCGGCTTCTTTCTTTAGAGTCTCCACCTGATTTTCAGTGATGTTTGCCCTGCTTTTAACATTGATAAGATCTTCTATATGAGATGAAATCATACAAAGCAAAACATTTGTTATAAAATACATCAATAATACCATGATATTAATAAAAATATGTATTTTAAGTTTTGTAACATTTTGCTAAACCTCATTTAGCAGACACCATGACTAGGCATAAGTAAGTAACATTAATTGATTATTGGTTTCTGTGTTAGCCATTTCTTTCTTTACATTTATATATGTCTGATACAAAATCATTAGTTATCATGCAAGATTTTGCTTGTTTTATATTGGGTGATGTTATAAAAAAATGCACTTAATACAAATGTATTGTTTATACTTTAATTGAAGTTGGTGTTTCTTTCTAATTGCATTTCCACATTCTTTAAATACCTTGGTGCTGTTGTTTCACCTTGTCCAACTCTTGTGTCTGAACTGTGTGGAAAAAATGGATGAAATTATTTTACAAAGTTATTTCTTTGACGGATTGAACCTTCTTTCTTCACAGCCTCCACACTGTTTTCAGTGATGGTTGCCCTGCTTTTAACATTGACCATTTCTTTTATCTGAGCTGAAATCATACAAAGCAAAACATTTCTTACCAAAACACAATAAAAATAACTGTAGGAGCCTTTTGTCCTTTCCTGTATTTATCATCACCAGGGGGCGTATTTCATTTTGAGTTCTGATTGTCTGATGGGGGATGGGGTTATTTAAGCCCAACCCTGATTCTGCTGTTAATGAGAGGAGGCAACAGTTTTCTACCGCGTTTGGTTTAGATTAATGTTGAATTTATGTATTTAGTAGGAAAATACTAAAACAATGGACACTGTTCTGTTAATAAATGACTATATTAAAACTAAAGATCAGCATGATAATCTTGATTGAGCACACAAAATTAACATCTTTCAGGAACAGCAACCAGTAGCCTAAAATATAGGATTTTAGCTGCTACAACGAT